AAAATAAGTTTTTGAGGAAGAAGTAGTATTTTTTATTTTTTTTTTTTAGACTTTAGAAACTCAGAAGCTGATCAAATATCGGGTTAAATATCGGTGGGGGGGCCGATGTCCGATATTCAGTTTTAAGGCCGATACCGATAGGGGGCCGATTATATCCTGCATCCCTAGTAATTTAGAAAAAAAAAAACACTAAAGTGATTTTAACCTTCCACCAAACATCGACCCAAAGGTTCCAGAACCAGGATGAAGCTCCATCTTCATAATTTAATCTAATTAGAGTAAAAGCAGGTTAAAAAAACCAAAACTGTTCCTGTAGTGGAAACTTAAACCTGCAGGATCCGTCCTCAGCTCCTGACTTAAGCATTTATTCACCCTCTGATGCAGCAGTTAGTGATCAGAGGGATTCAGTTGTTGAACGACTGAACGAGTTAAGGCCAGAACTCACCGGTTTTTACGACGTTTTAATCTACGATCTGATTTTTTTCCATATTACACTGACGGCGTATAGAGGCGCTCTGACTAGGCAGGGTGAGCAGATCTATGCAGATTGTTTTCACTTCTATCACACATTAAAACTATTTCCCACATTTGACTTCGACAGATTATGAAGTTATAAAAACCAGCGGTGCATTCTATAAAGCAAAGCTCCTCTTAACGAGTCTGTGCAGCATCTAGAACTAGAACAGATAGAGAATGTTCATCTATTAATAACCTAACGAGATCTATGTCTGAAGAAAAACGCAGCAATAGCAGATACAGGCCGATACCGATAGGGGGCCGATTATATCGTGCATCTCTACCTGATATTGGCCCATTCCTCTGAAAAGGCAGTCGTTAAGGGTCATTGTTGGCCTGGCGAGGTATTTTGTTCCCCTGCATAGTGACGGGCGCTGCGATGATGGCGGGAAGGAATCAACTCTATCGCTGCATTGAAGGTTTCTGAAAGCTCTCTGTTTAAGGTTGTTTTTCTACCTTAACAAAGATGGCTTCCTTCACGCTCCTACAAAAAAACTCCTATAAAGTTACGACTTTTTCTCGTAATGTTACCACTTTATTCTATAGTTACTATTTTATTCTCACAATAAAAAGATAAAATAATTCTCCGTCGTAGTACGGAAACATGACGTGTTTTTAACCAGCGGTCTTACTAAACGCTGAGTCATGAAATCAGAACATCATTTTTCTACATTTCCTTTCATTCTTGCAGCTGCAATCCTTTATTTTATTTCTTTTATAAATCAGACTTTATTTTATTTCTTTTATAAATCAGACTTTATTTTATTTCTTTTATAAATCAGACTTTATTTTATTTCTTTTATAAATCAGACTTTATT